TGAACTTGGAAAAAAATAACATTAGAAGTATAGAGTGTTTTCCTCCAACTAAACACGGGTTCAGTTATTTGCGCATGAGTTGGAACGAAATAACTAACATCCCACATGATATATTTTCAGAAGTAACCCCAAAATATCTATATCTGGACCACAACCAGATAACAAACATCCATGTTCATACTTTTGATACAAATAATCTGAACAAGCTGGACTTGTCCTATAACAAGATAGCCATGATTCAGTCAGGGTCATTGGGAAATTTACTCCGACTACGTTCGTTGAGCCTAAGGTGCAACAAGATAAGACACATACAGAATGGTGGATTTGTAAATCTACCCATGCTAATAAGGTTGGACCTTAGCGAGAACAAGATGGTTTCCTTTTCCCCTTTAGCATATAGCTTGTTGCCATCCATACGATGCATATTACTTGGCAAGAACCCCTGGCAGTGTGACTGTAGGATGACTCCTTTAACGCTAAACACGACTGCATTTCCCTTATTAAAATACAATATAATATGTGCTCAGCCATCCAAATTCCAGGAACAGAGGCTTGCAGATGTAAATCCTGAAGAATTGGTATGTAAAAAGACAACCATGTCACCGCTAACTGTTAATTCCCAAATGCCATCTGAAGTGTCATCTAATTTAGTTGTCAACACAGAAAGCAATACTACTAGCCCATCAGCATATCCCGTAAGCTCGACATCCATTTTTACACGACCTGATGATATCCAAGTGAGCTCTAATAACTGGTCCAATGGCACTGTCAGTTATCGCTATCACTGGTGCTTCAAACGCAATGCTGGCTCAATGGCTCGCCATGTAGGCAGAACAAACAAAGCAGGCATAGCAACACCAACTCCATTCCTTAGAACCACGCCTGACAAGCCAGGAATTAGCAATTCAAAAAAATCTTCTCCCAGCCTCTCCCTACCTGTTCTTATCATCTCTGTCTGTATACCAGTAGTTGGCGCTGTCCTGATTGGCACTGTCATTCTTACAATCTGGAACAAGAGGAGAACCAGAGATCCTCTATTTCGACTAGATCCCAATGTTGTTGTATCTGGCCACGGTAGACGAACTAAGAGAGCAGTTTGTGTAATGGCCAGTGGTGATGATCACCAGTATGAAGATATTGACAACCCACGTGTTAAGACAGGACAGGGTCAGTCTCAGGCCATCATTGAATCCAACACAAACATCACATCTGCTGTAAAGATCAGTGGTCATGATCAAAAAGATCAGCCCATGCCAGAATCACTAGATATTAAGAATATATCTTATGGCACGGGGCTGACTGTCCCGAATCTGAAGTGTGTGTACAAAGCTGTGGCCCAGTCTCAGGCCATTACTGAATCCAACACAAACATATCTGCTGCTCTAATGACCAGTGATCAAGGGCAAACAAGGCAAATTCAGCCTCAGGTCATCAGTGAATCCTTGGATGCTGGAAATGTATCTTATGGCGCAGGGCCGACTGTCTCGCAGCCAAATTCGCTGTACAAAGTCGTGGCTCAGTCCCAGGCCATCACAAACAACATGGCTGCTATAGGGGCCACTGGCCATCAGGCAGAGCAGTCCCAGTCTCAGACCATTACTGAACCCAACACAGACACCACATTTACTGTAGCGACTGGTGACAATGGTCAGACAGGACAGGGCCAGTCTCAGGCTATGACTGAATCCAACACAAACACCACAGAAACTGTAATGACCATTGGTCATGATCAGACTGGACAGGGTCAGTCTCAGGCCATCGCTGAATCCAACACAAACACCACAGCACACACACACACCGTATCTTGTGGCAATGCTCAGGCAGGACTGGGCCAGTCTAATGCTAGACCTGAAGCCTTTAATATGATAAATCCATTAATGTGTGATGCATTGCTAGCTGCCCTACAGACAAATCCCATGTACGTACATGTAGATGGGAAAACTGTACCAAAGGGCACAGCATCTGCAGAAATAGCCAATGGTCATGATCAGACAGGGCAGGGTCAGTCTCAGGCCAACACTGAGTCAAACACCACACCTACTATAGTGGCCAGCGGCAATGGTCAGACAGAGCAGGGCCAGTCTCAGACCATCACTGAGTGACAACAGTGGTAACTAGTGGTCATGGTCTTAGGAATCATAGACCTCCATTCTAACCATTATAATGTTACATTTCTGAGAGAAACCTAAGGCTCCGTAAAATATCAACTTTGCGTATTTCTGAAAGTTGTTGTTCGAGGGCTTGCAATTGAGATTACTGAAACTAAACGTTTTGTATAAGAGTTTCTTTAAGGGTTTCTTGGTAACGATTGTACATATCTTCAGATGTTAGATTGAACAATCCACACTACTAGTAACTTTATTGTCCTCCCTGCCCAACCAAAGGCAGGGATGGAGTGTTTTACCATTCTATGTGAGGTAAGGTCCATTTAAGTTTCAAAACCTAGCAGCAGTGAAAGGTACTGCAGAAAGTATCCAAGATATGAATTACCACTCGGCCACATTTATAACTAGTCATAATCACTGCTATATTTTTCATGAATAAGACCTTCACACCATTACATCAGCTGTAGTTTTCCCTTTCTTTAATATTGTAATAAGTGAGGGCAATATTTATGATATAGTGATTGTTTCTCCATATACTATAACTTTATGGGTACATGTATATATGGGTATATACATGTTTGTACTGTTTCGATA